AGAATTTTAGGATCACAACCAATTAATCCAATTTTAGAATTTAAAGTATTACTGAAGACATAACCTACAAGATTGAAGACATATTTATTTCATTGTATTATAAACCCACAGCTCATTGTTACTCCCTGGGTACTGGGCCAGTGAAAAAGATTTGGATATTAAATTCATCATTAAAATTTTTTTAATTATTTAATTTGATTTATTTTATTATTTTTTTTTAGTTTGACCAGAGAGAGATGGACAGAAAGAGAGAAAGTGAGAAAGTAAGCTGCCAGGTCTGGGAATTGAACCACAGTCAGCCATGCGGGAGTCCAGCACCTCAACCACCATACCACCTGCTGACCCTGCATCATTAAATATTTATTGAGTACTATTCTTTGGGGGAATATGAGTTGGACATTTTTAAAAATTTTATTTTTATTTATTTATTCCATGAGAGAGACAGCGAAAGAGAGACAAGCACCCCCAAGAGGGTCTTAACTCCATAGTTTCACCCCAGCAGTGGCCATCCAGGGTCACAGGCATTTGCACACCTGGTATGCACAGAGACACCATGAAGCATGAACCTGGGCCTTCCCATTACCTGTGGAGCATTGTGTTGCCACTGTACCACCACACTGGCCTAAATTGGACATTTTTTATTAAAATTGTAGAGTTCAGTGAGTTCTCAGTCATTCCAGCAAGTCATATTTTTTTGAGAGTTTTTTTTTTTCTGTAGGGTGCATGTGCTTGCCGGGGAGACAGAGACAAAGACAGATAGAGAGAACTCTATCATTTATTGACTATTAATTGACTATCATATTGAACAACTATGCTGGATGTTCAATACATTTCTTCTAATCTTCACTCCATCTAATTTCCACATCTCTGTGCCTTTGTAGGTATCACTATCCTCATTTTACAAATGTAGTTAGCACAGATAGCAGTGAAGCAAGATGAGAGAGAAGCCTGGGATCAAGAGCAGCAGAGCCTTCATTCAAAACTACCAGGGCTTGGGGACCAGCAGTTAGAGTAATGGCTATGTCACTGGACTCCTATGTAGTCAGCCATAGTTTGAGTCCCGGACCCGGTGGCTTAAACACACGCCAGGTGTGTATGTGTACGTGCCCATAGTGGATGTGCGCGTACCAAAGGTCCCGAGAGGAGAATAGAGAAGGGATTGTGGCATGGCCATCCCCTCTGGGGGGTGTTTTCTCGCTTTCTGTCTCTCTCTGTCTTTCTGGTGAGAGCACAGAAATCTCTCAAAAACAAAAACGGAACAACAACAACAAAAAACTACCAGGGCTTGAGGGTCCAGAAGATGGTGTAATGGTTATGTCACTGGACTCCCACTGGACTCCCACATGGCTGACCATGGTTTGAGTCCTGGACGTGGTGGTTTAAAACTTACACCAGGCGTGTGTGTTTCTGTGCCCAAGATCCTGAGAGGAAAATGGAGAAGGGATTGTGGTGTGGTCATCCCTTCTGGAGGGTGATTTCTCACTTTCTGTCTGTCTGTTTTTCTCTGTCTCTCGGGTGAGTGCTCATACCCTATAGCAAAAATCTCTCAAAACAAAACAAAACAAAACAAAAAAATTACCAGGGCTTGATTCTGGTGTCCTACATACTAGCTGTCTGAACTTAGACCCATTATTTAATTTCTCCATGCTCATCTCTAAAATAGGATAAAATCATACAAACTCATAGTTACTATGAGCATTTTACATCTATAAAAAGCCTATTGTCCCTGGACTTCTGGTGATACTCAGTGAATGTTAGTTACTATATTAATTCCGTGTGCCCCAGGGCAGAATCTGAGGTTATCTGTTAATACCTAGGTGACCTCATTCAATCTCATGACATTAAATATAACTACACTGAAAACACCAACAATTTTTTTTTTTTTTTTTTTTTTACTATAGGGTGTATGCACTTGCTGGAGAGGGTGAGGGACAGAGAGAGAGAAGGTCATCCTCGGGGGGTGGGGGGGAAGACCATGCTGCAATTCCTTCTTCTTCAGTCTCTTCACAGGATTTTTGGTGGGGTGTTTATCAAGCTTCTAGGTCCAGGACTCAAACCGCAGAGTTGGCTATGTGGGATCCAGTACCTTACCCACTACACCACCTGTTGACCCTAATAACGCCAGCATTGCTATCTCCTGCCAAACTGATATTTCCTAATGTAAGTCAGCTCATGTCGCTTGTCCACTCAGAGCCCTCCTATGGCTTTCCATCTCTCTCAGGGAAAAAGTCAGAGCCCTAACCAGTGCTTTCCTGATCTGCGTCCCAGCTCATTCCACTTCGTTCCTTCTCTCTGGCCACACTGATATGGCTGCTGGACACTCCAAACCCTTACTTTTTAATTTTAAGTTTATTTATTTCTTCCAAGAGTGCGAGAGAGAGGGCATTTCTGCCAGAGTCCTGACACCATGATCTATCCCCTAACCTTTAGCCAGCTCCAAATCACAGGCAAGCACATGCCTGGCACACTTAGGGAAGTCACCAGACCTGAACCGAGAACCTTCCCATGTGAAATTGCTTTGCAGAGGGTCACATTTTTCTGCTTGCCACCGTCTGGCTCCATCCAAACACTGTTAATCCTCAAACCCTTTGTATTTTTACTATTCTGCCTGACCCATGTGTCCTCGGATATTCAAATCACCTGTTCCTTCACTTTACTCAGGTCCCTGCTCAAATATCATTTTATCAGAGAGGCCATCCGTGATCACCTTAAATAAAAGATTTCCTTGTCTTCACTTTTCTTCTTACTCTGCTTCATTTCCCTTTATGGTGCCCATTACCAATACATGTATTCTTTTGTTTATGGTCTGTTTTCTTCCTCTGAAATGTGAACTGCATTGAAGCAGGAACTTCATTTTGCTCACAGCCCTTAAACTCGTGCTTGGTGCATGCAGACACTGAATAGATATTTATTGCTTACCTGCACTTATGTTAATTGTCCAGCTAGTAAGTGTCAGCTCTGTACCAAGTCAGCCTCCCTTTAGAACTTCTTGCTCTTTCTACCCTACTAATCGGCCATCCCATGTCAGGGAAGACATAAACCCTATTAGAATATAATTAGTTCTTAGGGTTATGCTAACCAGCAGTTAGCATAATGGCTATGTCACTGAACTCCCATGTAGCCAACTGCGGTTCGAGTCCTAGACCCGGTGGCTTAAACTCACGCTGGGCGCATGTTGCATGCGTGCGTGCCCAGTATCCCAAGAGGAGAAGGGATTGGGGAGTGGCCATTCCCCCTGGGGGGTGATTTGTCGCTTTCTATCTGTCTGTCTCTGTCTTTCTGGTGAGCTCACGTGCCCTATAGCAAAAACCTCTAAAAAAAAAAAATTAGTTCTAAGGACTCCTGTACTTAAACTAGAAATGTTATGCAAATGAGGGCTTTTGTATGCCACAAATGTAACAAATATTTACTGCACACCTACAACATTGCTCTTGGATAAGAAACAAAGACCAACTCATGAACTTGGGGAAAAAATTTATCCAAGAAACTTGAAGCCCAAGAAAGGTAAATATTTGTGCTTGTGAATTTCTAAGTTAAGCACTGTGCTTCTGCCTATTTTGAAGTTTATTGAGTTATTTCTTCCATGAGTGAGAGAGACAGAGAGAAGCAGAGAGACAGAACCCCAAAAAGTCTTGATGCCACAATCCACTCCCAACCTCAGCCAGCCCCAGATCATGAGTGTGCATGTGCCTAGCTCATGATCAAGAAGGCCTATGAACCAAACTCGGAACATTCTCACATGGGTCAGCACTGCAGATCGTCATGTTTCACTGCTGCATCACTGTCTGGCCTCTGGTTCTGACTATCATGTCAGAATAGAATATGTGATAATCTCTTAAACTTTTTCTTCCCTCAATCTCAGTCCACTCACTTGCTTAAGACAAATTCCTAGACATTTTCCTAGGTCTCTTTTCTCCCTCATACTGTCTTTCCAACCCCCCTGCAAAGAATGTAAGCTGCAAAGTCTCTGCAACTTATCCCGACATCCTCTGCTTCTCATCATCCCCTCCGCTAGACGCCCTCATCCTAGCACTACTCGGCTTACCTAGGCTACCAGCAGAGATCCCCTTCTTACCATCTGCACCCCTTTTCTACCCAGCAGCCAGAATAACCATTTACAGGTGGAAATTACACATTCCTCCCTGCCTAAAGACTTCAAGGCTGGGGCCAGCAGATAGCATAACGGTTACGTCCCTGGACTCCCACATGGCCAACTGCGGTTCAAATCCTGGACCTGAAGGCTTGAACATCACCGCAGACACATGTGCGTGCATGCCCAAGATCCCAGAAGGAGAATTCAGGAGAAGAATGGCAGCGTGGCCATCCCCCTTGGGGGAGATTTCTCACTTTTCTTCTCACTGTCTGTCTGTCTCTTCCCTGAGTGCATGCACCCTAAGGCAAAAAGCTCTAAAAATCAAAACAAAACAAAACAAAATAAAAATACCCTTTGGTGGTTTCCCCTTGCCGTTCCACTCTGTGCTGCTCCATTAGAAAACTGGCGAGTCCATTGCTCCAGCATACAAGCCCTATCTGCTTTGGCCCAGACGGGCCACTCCAGTCGCCCCACTGCCTGCCTATACATTCTATCCTGCCAGGCCTCCTCTCATTCCTGTGAGCACAGTAAGCTGTCCCTGGTCCTGGAACTAGCAACTTTCCCTAGTTATTTCGGTCTCCCCTTAAGGGTCGCGTCCTCAGTTCTCGTCTCAGACTGCTGGCTGCGTCCTCCCTTCTATACCCTCTGTGTAGTCAAAACCTGACTTGCGTTCACGCGCGTGACTTGCGGCACTGCACCTTTGCCACCGAACGTGTTCCCTAGGTCTTGGTTATGTCTCTCCAGTAGAATGCAAGCTGGCTGAAGACAGAGGCCTTGCTCTGTCAGCAGTTTACAGCGGCTCCTGACACCTAGCGGATACTGGAGAACCACGGTTGAATGGCAACCCTGCCTCAACTTTGGTAGCTCCGGTAGGTTCAGGTCACCCCCCTCTCCCAACAACCTCTAGGTCAAGATTTGGACACAAGAGGGAAAAGAAAAGCAGGCATGAATACTACTCAAACGAACGGCTGTCATGTCTCCAATTTTCGAGGACGAGAGAAAACCAGTTCTTCAGATGAGACATTTTTGGAGTCGGAGGTGTTACAGAAAGTAGACGGGGAAGCGAGAGCGCTCCAGGGAGGGAGGAACACCGCAGCCGGAGGCAGGAGACAGGGAGAGCTCACAGCACGCCGCACGTCTTCAGGGCTCTGAGCTTGGGCGCCGCATCTCGCCTGGTAAAGATGGGCTCTGAGGAAGAGGCTGCTGGAGTGAAGAGCGGAGGGAACGAGAGGAAGGGTGGGTGAGGACCTGAGACGCGACCGGAGCCAGGAAGAACAGAGAGGGACCGGGGCAGAAGAGAGGCGAGCCATACAAAGCCGCCTCGGTTCTGGCCGGAGCTGCAAGCGTTAAGGGGAGGCGGGGAGTGACGCGGTTTGCGTCTGGAGCGGCTCCTCCGAGTCCACAGCATCCAGCGCCGGAGCCTCGCCTTCCTTTCTCCCTCTGCAGACATATCGAGACACACAAAAAGAGGCACCCCCTGGCCAGCGCAGGGACCTGCCGGCACCATGACCGAGACCACCAAGACCCACGTTATCTTGCTCGCCTGCGGCAGCTTCAATCCCATCACCAAAGGGCACATTCAGATGTTCGGTGAGTCCTCCCGCCCACCCCGGCGGCTGCTTCCGCCCCGCTCCTTCCCCGGCACCTGTGTTTTCCTGGGCGGCTGAACGGGAAGGCGTGCGCCCCTCCCGGGAGCTGCGCCGGCGGATACCGCGGGTGGGAGGTCCGCCGCGCTCCTCTGGGCTCCGGGGACCGCACGCCGCCTGCGTGGCCGAGGCGACACTTGCTCGGGCCAGACCCCGCTCGCGGGGGGCCAGAGGTGGGGGAGGGGAGGGAGCTGGAGGTGCGCGTCGTTCTGGGCTGCGTGCGGGTTCGACATTGGGGAACCGGGGTGCCGCGGTGTGGGGGTTCGGCGGCTTGGCCCGCGAGGGCTGGGATGCGGGCAGAGGCTGGGGCGCGAAGCAGGGCGGGGTGGGGGGGGGATGGAGATAACGTGCTGTTTGTTTAGGATGGGCAGAAAGCTCGAAGGAGTTAAATGGTGTCTGTGCCTTGGCGACACAAACACGCTCGCACACAGCCAGCCAGTGACAGGGGTTGGGGCTTCGAGGAGATTGATTTAGGGTTTGGTTGGTTCGAGGCGGCCCAGGGCGTGCTTGGGGACTGTGGACCGGGTCTTGCGCGCGCGAGGCGGATGCTGAGTGCACGGGGAGGGCGCTCTGGCTCGCCCAGGTTTGGTTGCGGGGACCCGCTGCCTAGGAAGGGGAGGGGGCGGGGCGGCCGCTGCGGGAGGCTGTTCGCGAACCGGTTCCGTGGATTCCGACCCAAGTTGGTCGAGGCTGTGCCCAGGGCGGCGATGGCACTGGGAGGCCGGCGGCGCGCGTGTGTATGAATGTGTGTGCGAGAGTGAGTGTGTATGTGCGTGCGTGCGTGTTGGGGAGGAGGGCGCAGCATCGCGCGTTTGTTTCTTAGAAGCTTTGGGGCGTGGAGTGAAAGGGAGCGAGCGGAGACGCCTGGCTGCTGGTGTGGGCTCGAGCAGGGCAGGGGAAAGGTGATCGATCGGTGCCCATGGGCGATCTCACACAACCCGAGGGGAACCACCCGGGGAGACTCGCCGGAGCCGGGGCGGGCGCGTTTAGACCCTGAGGGAGGGACGCAGAGGTCACTTTAGAAGCAGGAAGTTAGAAGTTAGGATGCCTTTTTCCTGGGACTGAGGAGAGAAAGAGTTGGGGAGAGCGAGTGGGCTTTGAATGGATGAGAGACCGGGTGGGAAGCGGGACCTGCCCAGAACAAGGCGCTCTCCAGGGGCGGCGGTGCTGAAACGCAGGGCGCGCCGCGGCTGGCTGCGGGCGCACGTGCTCACCCGGAGCCGAGGACTCCTGAGCCCTCCTACCGCTGTCTAATGAAAACCTCGTCCTATCGGTGAGGACCGGGCGAGGTGGCATAGACGAAAAATACTAGTTTTTAAACCTAAACGGTACTCCGAACTGGGCCAGCTTGTTGCAAACCTCGTGAAAAGAATGTGGAATTACTTTGAGCCTAGGGCGGATCAGGCAGGCACGTTTATGCTATGGTCCGAGGGAGACTGAGAGGTAGCCATGGCTTCCTCCCCATGCCTTTAGCTTTTAAGACTGTTTTATCAGGAGCGAGTGCTTATTAAATAAAGGCTTCTTCTGTTCAAGGATCAAGGTAGACCTAGCTGAAGGAGTATCATCAGAGCACAAGGAAGGGGCCACTTTCACTTTCTTCTGATTCGGTGTCTTCACCCCTGTGCTTTTTCTCTGTATCACCTTTGGCCATTTTATATTCACATACTTTATTCCTCTCTCCTGACCAGGCAGGGATGGGCTTTTCTTTGGAACCCCTTAGGTCTAGGACTCTTTAGGATTCCAGCAGCTACTCTTCCTTTCTTCCTGGAGCGAAGGATGTAGTTATTCCTGTCTGTTTAAGGGACGGATTTAAACGGAGAACCAAGCTGCCTCGCAGTGGCAGAGAGTTTGCTAACAGTGATAAAGACGTAAGGAAGTGAATACTGACCTGCGTCCTTCAACGTTGAGGATAGAATGTGTGAAGACGGGCAGAGATGGAGCGGGAGGGGTTAGACGCCGAGCAGGTGAACAGAGATCTGGACAGCAGTGACTCGGTGTACCGTACTCGGTGCTGGAACTGAGGAGCAAGGGTGTGTTTTCCGGCACAGGCCTTTGTCCATTAGGCAAGTGTAATCCAGAGAGCGACGCAGAAAGCCATTCCACTGTGGCGTATGCATGGTGGCTGTGAGGGGTTTCTTACCTAATGAGCATAAACGAGAAAAGGAAGCAAGAACGTCAAAGGCCTTCCAGTATTTTTATTTATTTGTGTGATTGCTTATTTTGAGAGCATTGGAGAGAGACCCACACAGGTACCTCTGACAGTGTCTTGTCTTTCTACCACCCTTCGCCCAGGCCTCCCAGCCAGTCAGAACCACAGGCCCATGGGCATGCCTTGGTCAACCCAGGATCAGAAGCGGTTTCCATGTGGCTCCAGTGTTGCCAATGGGGCCCTACAGCCTGCACCATCACAACTGGGCCCTTACAGTAAACTTTTTTTTTTTTTTGTAAAACCTTTCATTTCATAAAAATCTTAAATTTTTTTTTTTATCGCCAGGTGTGTGCACTCATCGGAGAGAGACAAATTGAAAGAGAGAGAAATAAAGCAACTCCATTGGGAGTAGCTATGCTACAATCACTTTTCCTCTATTTCTTCCTCCTTGTGAGATTGTGGGCACACACACATACACACACACACTTGCACCTGGAGTGTTTCTCAAGCTGTCCATCCAGGACTTGGACCACACAAGCAGCCACATGGGATCCAGCTGCCTTAACCAGCATGCCACGGGCCAGCCCATGTAGGACATCTCACTTGAACCTTTGAGCTCTTGATACATTTAATAATGTTTGTAGAGCAGTTTCTGGTTAATAAAACCTTTCTGTATATGTGATGTCACTTATTTCTATTAACAATCTTACAAGAAAGGCATCATTATCTTATTTCACAAGTGAGAAACTGACATTTAGAGGCTAAGTGACTTTCTTAGAAACCCACATGAAGAGTGGGTTGCAGATTTGAGACTTTGACCCCCACATTCCTGATTCTCCTCACTGAGACCCATGTACTGATCCAAAGGAGAGTGGAAGTGCTAGCTGATCTTTTTTCATGAACGGTCTGTTTCCTTCACATATATACTAACAGATTGGAATTAAATTGGCCATCAACTAAATGAGATTCTGAAATATGCATTTCCTTAAGAGCTCTTTTCCATGTCTAAAGAAACCAGTTATTGGTGAACTATTTCCTCCTTTTAAGAGGCTTTATACATTTTCTCCCCAATAACACAGCAATTAAATGATCAAACTTTCTTTAAGGTGCCTGAGATTTGTGATAACTCTTTAAAAGTAGACACATACAGGACTTTGAAGACAGTTTTTAAAAGACATTTTAAAAAATATTTTATCTCATTTATTATTATTATTTTTTAATTTGACTAGAGAGAGAGAAAGAAAGTGAGAAAGCAAGCCACCAGGTCTGGGACACAAACCATGACTGGCCATGTGGAGTCCAGCACCTTAACCATCACGCCACCTGCCAGCCCCTAATGAAACTTTTAATAGAATTTCTATATTTTGAAATCCAATTGCTAACCAAAGAAAAAAAGAGAAATATTACAAATAAAAGAGAAGTGTTATTCAGCACTAAAGATGCTCTTCATCTTTTAAAGTAGCACTTATACAATTCTCAATAGTTGTTAAATATTTTAGAATGACCTTTTATTTAACTCTGAAAGGAGAGTTGATATTATTCCTCCTTTTTGTGACTAAAGAAACACATAGAAAAAAATTAATATTTGTGATAGAGCTATCAGACACTTATATACTTAACTGTAACTGAAATGTTTTCAAAGATAAATAAAAGTTTTTGCTAAAGTAAACCCACAAACTGATGATGTATTTCATGGGTCTGCCTGATTATATAAGGAGAGAACGTGAAGCTACAAGTAGTTTTTTAAACATAATTTCTTAGTTTTTAAGTATGTAGAGATTATATTTTTTAGTAAAACTTAAAAAAAAATATTGCTATGGAGCCTGTAGGTGGCGTGGTGGTAAGGGCACTGGACTCCCACATGGGCTATTTCAGTTTGAGTCCCAGACCTGGTGGCTTGCTTTCTCACTTACCCTCTATTTCTCACACCCTTACTGCCTCCCTCTCTGGTAAAATTAAAATAGATAAATAAAGTTAAATAAAATAATTCTTTAATAAATACTATATAGATTGCTATGGGGCCAGCAGGTGCTGTGGTGGTTGAGGCACTGGATTCCCACATGGCCATCTATGGTTCAAGTCCTGCACCCGGCGACTTGAAAATGACAACAAATAAATACTGGGTTGTCAAGAAAGACATGATGTCTTTTTCTATGCAAAAATACATCATGACTTTCTCAACAATCCAATAGATAAATAAATGTTTTAAAAAAGAAATGTTTAAAAAATATTGCCATATTTGTTGATAAATTCACCACTGAAAAGTCAGATAACAAATTTAAATAGAAAAATAAAAAAGAACTGATCAGATTAATTTGGCCAGAAAAAACAGGAATTATGGGACAAGCAGATGATGTAGTGGTCAAGGTGCTGGACTTCCACACGACCTACTGCAGTTCAAGTCCTGGACCTGATGACTTGAAATTCATGCCAGGAAAGTGTGTGTATATGCTCAAAATCCTGTGAGGAGAATGGAGGAGAAGGGATTGTGGTGTGGCCTTTCCCCTTGGGGGGGTTATTTTTCACTTTCTCTCTCTCTGTCTCTCTCTGATAAGCACAAATGCCATATGGCAAAAACCTAAAAATAAGTAAAGAAAAGAAAATAAAAACAGAAATTAGGGGATTTCGTCACAACAGAAATATATTCTGCTTTTTGATGATTGCAAAATAATGTTTTTTCAATTTCAAAATTTTGAACAATTGAGTCTTTCGAAGAGACGTGATTCAATTCTGCTCCTCTTAAAGGTGATGAAGAGAGCTCTCCACTGAGGATCTGGACAATGCAGCCCCTACTG